GTCGCAAGCCGTCGACATTCCGTCGACATTCCGCTCGTTCGTTTCAAGCGACCCATCCTCGAAGTTCCCGTCACAGAAAGACCACTACGTGCTATACCTGGGGTACTGCTGTCCCTGGGCGCACCGCGGGGTTCTTCTCCGGCCGATTTGGGACCGCAGAGAGGGACCCCTTGTATGGATTCAGGCGCTCAAGGAGCTACCTCAAAGTGGATCCGCAGTACGAGGGCCGGTACATGATCCTGGTCCTCTGAGACAAACAGCGCCAGGCGATCGTCAACAATGAAAGCAGCGAGAGCATCCGGATGTTCTACGCCGAGTCCGACCGTCTCCTGCCCGAAGCCTGCGCGAGGCCAACCAGCCGGCGGCGGATTTTACCCGCGCCTGTGCGAGCCGACATCAACGCCATGAACGAGTGGGTGTACGACAAGATCAACAAAGGGGTGTACAACACCGGGTACGCCACGACGTGGGAGGCGTACCAGGCGAACCTGTACCCGCTGTCAGAGGTGCTGGACCGCGTCAAGGAGCATCTCGGACAGCCCGGTCACCAGCCGTATCTGTTCGGGGGAAACACCAACGAGGTGGACGTTCGGCTGTACACTGACGACTGCTCGCTTCGATGTGGCATGCTACCTGACTTCGGGTGCAATCTCAGAATGATCTCGCATGACTATCCGCGCATTGATCGCTGGTACCGGCGGCTGTACTAAGACGAATGGGACAGACGGGGGGTCGTCCCAGAAGACACTTTTCTGATCTGGTGAGCTCCTTTTCGCCCTAAAGAGGGCCATGCTGACCAAGCTAGTATAAAATCCGGTATCTCAAGGCAAGCGAGAGACAACTCAACGCGCCGTTGATCGTTCCCGCATGGCCTGGGCCAGACCCTACTGTTAGAAGAGTAGTCATCGCGAATCATAAGAGGCGAGTCACGCATCAGAGGTGACTCAATACTCCATCATAGTGACTTTAATGGATATTTTCCCCGCGGTCTCCGCGTTATCGAGGATTAAGCACTGCATACTGCGTCATTTGTAGTCGAGAAGTGTCGGAAGAAGCTTGTCCCAGGGACAGTAAGATAGGCGTGGATGGCCGCGAGTCAGTGATTGGCGTAGAATGGCACTAGAAGCTGAACGAGGCCTTCCTGGTAAGGCAAAACGTGGAGGTTTGCTTTTTTGGTCCTGCAGAATCGAACAGCACCTTGGATCATGGGGTAGAATGCTCTTCCCATTGGTGACAATTTTGTTCATTTGTTCAACGCGGAATCATCTTCCAGTCACTCCATCCGGCCCCCAATCTGCGACCTGCTTCATCTTATGCACTGCAACCCTGTCTAGCTACCACCTTACGTATCCAATTCCCCTCTTTAAGTAGAAGGTAATCAGCGACGGTCTAGATCCATCCGACCCAGTCCCAGGTAGCCACTAGCCCCCAAAGAGGCAGGGGAAACGGGCGATATCACCACCGCGGCGCACCGCCGAAGATGACAACCATGGACGGAGCATTAGTTAGTGCAATACTCGACACTCATCTTGGTTCTGATTTGATCTTGCATCGAGCACACTGCGCCGCTAGATATGCCAAGTTTGCTATGTACTCTGGTTGAGCGGGGCGTTCCGAACGGATGAATATTGGGATGGGCGATGGTTCGGATCATCGAGTTTCAGCTGACAGGGCAGCTGCACCGATCTTGAGTGAGTACCTTAGTTATTAACAACATAACTTGTCTCATTGTTTAATCTTGTAGTGAACTGGTATAGAATACAGATAGAGACATGATGACTATCAGACCTACTGGTTTCTCTGGAAAAACTCCGGAGAAATAACCCATGATCTAGTCGGAACCGAGTCAGTGGATGTCACATATTGTGTGATGGATAATCCAAGGTGACGGCCCCCTGAACCTCTCCGTCGGCTACTCGGGCTCTGCGTTTTAGTCACTTTAGTGCTCCTGGTTGATCCTTCCGCAATCCAGATCTTATCCATCAACAGTAATATGATGCCATGATGACGGTGATGACGGTGATGACGGTGATGACGGTGATCTACTACGTACCTTTCTCTAAATCCAATGTAGGAATCAATCTACGAGCTCAGGATACTTCCAGGTTCAGTTATCAATCAGCAAGGTACGATTGATACCTAAGCGCTAGGTTGGACTGTGCAGTAGTACCGTCTACCGTGCATTTCACCCACGTGGGAATGGGCCAGGGCCAGGGCAGTGGCAAAGAAGGAGAGAGAAGAATCTACAGATACAACCTCAGTTCACACAGAGTGCAGTACTCGGAGGACGGAGTATCTTCGCGTTAATTGACTGAAACCCGGACAACACTGCAGGGATATCTGACGTGAACTGTCAGGACGTCAAGTGCCCCTCCCCCTTAACCTGAATGGCCCAGAGGCTAAGCTGTAAACCTCTGACTATTCATGAGCCAAGAACAAGGTCATTCTAGAAGAGTGAGAATACGACCTTCCCTTAGTGTTGCGGGATTATTCGCAATGAGCATGGTTTTGATCTCCGAATTCAGGCACAAATCCCGCCATGACATTCATGGACGCCGCATATTTCACCTTTTATACCTTCATAATCAATGCCTTAGCAGCATTCCTTGTTGAGATCATGATATGAAGCCAGTGTCTTGTAGGACTCGACATGATATTGCCCCACCTGGCTACATCCATAGTCTCAAGTATACTGCTATACTCATACGCTGCTAACTCTAAATGCAACTGCCATATTGCCAGCGGGGCTGCCGCGCATAAGGAGTCCCAGGGATCAGGAAGATGGAATTTTAGCGAGTAGCCAGGGGGCCGCGGAATGTTCGATTGTCTTCCCCGTTGAATAGTCTAGGGATGAAACTCGCGAGACTAGTTGTAAATAGCATTTTGATTGGCACTGCAGATTGCCATTTGAGCTCCAGTCAACACGATTTGGGACTCTTGGTGCGCTCCGTATTGGTACACAACCGGACATCTAAGTTCATGCACCGTCCTCCGGTGTATCACTCGGAAGCTTACCGCTGGACCTTGTTGGAAGATGAAGCCTAAACAACCCGAATTGAGTTGATGCCACTTGCTAACTGGGCCTGGTGTGGGGTGTTCTAGTGTGGCTATCCGCCCACTTGGTGTGTACCCGAAACTGTCTTCAGTCGAAAGTGGGCATGTTTCCTTGAAGATCTGAGACGAGGCTAAAACTGGCAAAAACTTCGCTTTCAGGCCGTGACCAGAGACTCAGGGGGAGCGACAGGGCATTTCGAATGGCAAATATCTCATCATGAAGGGTATGGTGGATGATATGTATTGAACTTGTGGGCAATGCGCGCATCGGCTCGACATCAGGTACCCTCCCGGATCCCATGACTATCGTTTCGCTTAGATTTCAGAGAGTCAAAGCTGAGGATACCTCTGTGCTCACCTGAATCAGATCTGCATCACAGTACGAAAGCCTGACGATGACAGGACAATCACCTGTCGTGCAACTCCCTGAAAATGATTCGTGTTATACGATATACCCGTTGTAGGCTTGTAGACGATACTTCAAGCATACAAGCTGAGACGCCACACAATTGCCTCCGTTCAACTCCAGAATGCGTGTTATCAGCAGGGTATGAAATCTATCATTTGATCCAAGAGAAAAACCTTCCTATGAAGTACTCCATAGGTGCCTTTTCTCTATTCGCCTTTGCCTTCATTGATCTATTGTCCCTATCTATTACCGCTATATTATACCTACCTTTGTCAAACATTAATCCAATTCTCTTGCTAATACAATGCCCTAGGTCTTCACTAACTACTCTGGGTAGGTGCTGGTTTAGCTACATCGGATTATGAGAGAGGGGGAAGGAAACGTGCCTCAGTATTCCGTAATAATAGTCTAGGTACGGAGTACAAAATAACTAATCACTATTGTTGTGATTTTTCTCCCTCCCTTTTCATTATATTATCATTATTTCTTCCCCTGTATCTATTCCTCCATCTAACTGTACTTTTTCATTTTCTCCTGTTTCTTATAAGCAATCTATCGTTTTGCTTCTCTATCCACCATCTCTCCCATCGCTGGCCAAGCCTTTTATCCTTGGTCCTCCCTGGCGTGGCCGCTTGATCGCCTGTGCAGCTTTCCCCCTCGCCCTCCCTTCAAGATAAGGAGTATTGTCGAAAAAGAAAAGGAAAGGAACAGTCAAAAGATATTTCATCTCACACCCCTTGTACTCTCACTACTCTCCGATTCCAAATTGGATCCGCTTCAACTCTGCTATTTTTGCGTGGCGGAATCAATCTTCAGGCATTCCCCCCCAAGAAAAAGGGTCAACAGATATATTGGCAGAACATCCCTCTGTGTCACTACTCATCGGAAGTACTGGCAAACCCGCATTTTTGTCCTTCTGCTAAGACTATCAAACACGCTGTGGCAGGGATAACTGCAGATATAGTTGTTGTTGGCTGCTGCCACTCTCGGGTTTTCCGCTCGAGTCCAAATTTTTGTCTCGTACTATCTTGCTCCTGATCCTGCGATCGACGAGCTTATACTGCGACCGGAGAGCTTCAGGGATTATTAACACCTTTCGCTTTCAATTCGCTGATCATAAAAGCAAATTTAAGGGCCCAAAGGTATGTCATGTCTCTCTTTCCTTTGCTTTTGCTCCCGTGGGGCCTCGTGTTGTGGTGTGGACTGTGGGCTGCACATGTGCTTGGACGGCCACAGAGCAACGACGGTTCTTCCGGTGGCTAATAACCGCACTAACTTTACCACAATAGCCGTTCTTTTAAGTTCCTGCGCTGGACCCCCAGTCGTAGTGTCTCGCAACACTCCGTTATCCGCGTCCGTGCCCACCGTGGAGCATTCATAGCTTTCTCTTCTCTCTTCGCCCCTCTCTCCCCTTCCTCTTCGCCTCGTACCCAATCTTCCTCTACTCTTTCTTCCATTTTAAGAAAAAAAAAGAAAAAACAATTCGATCAACCAATATTTTGTTTCTTCGGTGACCTACGGGTGCGATATAGTCGCCATGTCGGGAAAAATGACGTTGTACAAATTGGTGGTGTTGGGAGATGGTGGTGTCGGGAAGACCGCGCTGACGATCCAGGTTAGCCCTCCATTTCTGTCTTAAACGGTTGATGACACCGTTACTGAACTCTCGACTGAAAATTTTTTTTGCTCTTAATAGCTTTGTTTGAATCATTTCGTCGAAACGTACGATCCGACTATTGAAGACTCGTACCGGAAACAAGTCGTGATCGATCAGCAGTCCTGCATGTTGGAAGTGCTGGACACCGCAGGCCAGGAGGAATACACGGCCTTGCGAGATCAGTGGATTCGCGACGGCGAAGGTTTCGTGCTTGTCTACAGTATCACATCGCGCGCTTCTTTCTCTCGCATACAAAAGTTCTACAACCAGATCAAGATGGTCAAGGAGTCAGCCCACTCCGGGTCGCCATCGGGAGCCAGCTATCTGGGATCGCCTATGAACGCGCCTTCGGGTCCGCCCCTCCCCGTACCCGTGATGCTAGTCGGCAACAAGAGCGACAAAGCAGTGGAGCGAGCGGTCTCGGCGCAGGAAGGACAGGCCCTGGCGAAGGACTTGGGCTGCGAATTCGTCGAGGCGTCCGCCAAAAACTGCATCAACGTTGAGAAGGCCTTTTACGATGTCGTTCGCATGCTCCGACAGCAACGGCAACAGCAGCAGGGAGGACGAGCCCAGGATCGTCGACCGACCGGCTTGGGTCCTATGCGCGATCGGGACGCCGGTCCTGAATATCCCAAAACTTTCCGACCCGACCGTGCCAGACACCGAGGTGGCATCAAGTGCGTCATACTGTGAGGAACGCATTAGCATTCGCATCCCACCTCTTTTCACTTTCGTCCACTCCAAGCGTCCACGAACATCCATGCGAGCCTGCTCCATGGCAATATCTTCTGTTTGTTTATATTGGCTGCATGAACATCTTACCGGTCTCTGGACTATAGGCTGGGCGGTCATTTTTCGCCCCTTTCCTCTGTTACATTTTCCTCGCCTCTCTTCTACTCTACTTGTGTTGGATACGCACATACAGCTTTATGGGGATGCTTGATGTATGCTCCATGTTCCTCGGTACCCCTGGAGAGTGTCGCCTCTGGAAACAGATTTTATTTCCGTTATATGGGAGAGGCTGGAATCTCAGAAGCATCGGAGATTATAGACTTTTCTCTTCTCTTGCGCACCCTGAATAATCATTTTTTGACCCCTTGCAGTTGCTCGGTTCCAGCCTCGGGGATGTGGTTCATTCCAGCCACCTGGACCCATGACCAATCTTCTGCGTGGCTGGAGTCTAAGATGTGAATGTCAGAAGAGGGTCTTTGCTACAGACAGGTGTGGAAGAAGCAAGGAATGTGACCGACGACCGGATCGGAGGGAAGAAGACGTATGGTTGTTTTCGCTGAAGCAGTCGACCGTTTAGCAGGCATTTCGATATGATACCCTACGGCTGAGCTTTGAGTTGTTACTTTTTTTCCTGATGCATTACTTGCGAATATAAAGAACAAAAAGTTCATTGACACAGATAGACCTAAAATAAAGACACATATTATTCAGTTCTATCAGTATAAGAGCGAACCCGGTTCTTGCGAGCCCTGTATGACTATGTGGAAGTGGCGAAGAATATAGGGTTCAATGTCAGGAGATGCTGTATAGTGACCCGCTAGGTATCTTTCTCCAAATCTGATCGATCCAGTGGACAGTAGGGAAGCTCCATCTGGATCCTCCTTAACAGGTGTACAACTGTACCACGCGCATACCACTCCGGATGCTGAACGGACCATCCGTGCGGGGAAAGCTTCAAATTATCCTCGGCTTCATGTCCAGGACGTAGTATCAGCCCACTTCCCCACAACTTCACTTCATCCACTTATTGATTGTCGAATCAAATCTCCATCATTAATGGCTCAAATGTCATAGAGGCTGGAGCAATGTACCCCCTTGCGGAGTTCATGTCGATGTTTGCTTACTGATTGCCGAGTCTAAACGAATCCCGGCATGGACGGTTTGACTTTGGTCTAGGTTAACTTACAGCTCGCCTGCAGCATCATCGTGCATGAGGTCGGCTTGTTTCGTTCTGCTTCCTTTCCTCCGTGATCCTCTTCTGCAGTTCTGCTATCCATCTACTCCTCGGGTTTGGTTAGACTACGGAGAACTGCTGGGTGCATTTATACTTTGTATTCGTCACATTGTAGCAGTCATCCCATACGCACTTTTTCCCTTGTCTCTGCTCTGTTTCTTAGTCATCGGATCGCGAACTATCATTCCTACGCTTGAACGAAAAGAAAGGGAGAATGTCTACCCAACAAACAGTCCACGCTCAGTCCCTGCACTCCCCCGAAAGCTTTTGGTCGTATCACGCGACCAAGCTGCACTGGCACAAGAAGCCATCGCAGACTCTTGTCCGACGCCCCAAGACTCTACCAAGCGGGGTCACGCACGAGCACTGGTCCTGGTTCCCCGACGGCGAGATCTCCACGACGTACAACTGTGTGGATCGGCATGTGGCGGCCGGCCGCGGGGAGAATGTAGCGATTATCTGGGACTCGCCGGTGACGGGTGTCAAGGAGAAGTATACATACAGCCAATTACTCGATGAAGTGGAGGTGCTGGCTGGGGTGTTAAGGGAGGAAGGTGTGAGGAAGGGAGATGTGGTGATCATCTACAGTATGTATCTCAGCTCTGGAACGTCACGCAGATAGAGCTGATAACCACGACAGTGCCTATGATTCCCGCGGCGCTGATTGCAGCGCTAGCCATCACCCGGCTGGGGGCTATTCATTCGGCCGTGTTCGGCGGTTTCGCGGCCAAGTCGCTTGCGCAGCGGATTGAGGCCGCGAAGCCGCGAGTGATCATGACAGCCTCGTGCGGGATTGAAGGGTCCAAGGGGCCCGTGTCGTATCGGCCGCTGGTCGAGGGGGCCATTGCAGCGAGCAGCTTCAAGCCGTCCAAGACGATTATCTGGCAGCGGGACCAGCTGCGGTGGAACAATCCGGACAAGATGGGCGGGCAGCGCAACTGGCAGCGGCTGGTCAAGAGCGCTCGAATGCGCGGCGTCAAGGCGGGCCCGGTGCCGGTCAAGAGCACGGATGGGCTGTATATCATCTATACCAGCGGTATGCGTGCTGATTCTGGGGTAATGTAACGATGCTGATGCGTGGGTAGGGACAACTGGATTACCGAAAGGAGTCTTCCGAGAAGCAGGGGGGCACGCGGTAGGACTCCATTTGTCCATCAAGTATCTGTTTGATATCCACGGGCCAGGAGATGTCATGTTCTGCGCCTCGGATATCGGCTGGGTGGTCGGTCACTCGTATATTCTGTATGCACCGTTGCTGGTGGGTGCCACGACGGTCCTGTTCGAAGGAAAACCGGTGGGGACACCCGACGCAGGCACCTTCTGGCGCATTGTCGAGGAGCACAAAGTCAAGGTGCTCTTCACGGCGCCGACGGCCATTCGGGCAATCCGCAAGGACGATCCGGACAACAGGTACTTCCTGCAGGTTGCACGCCGCGGGGGCCTGAGGCACCTGAAAGCTCTATTTCTCGCTGGCGAGAGAAGCGAACCGAGCATCGTCCAGGTGTATCAAGAGCTCCTGACCCAGCATGCGGCGCCGGGGGCAATGGTGATCGATAACTGGTGGTCGTCCGAATCCGGATCCCCCATATCTGGATTAGCGCTGAACAGCGCAGCAGGCCTGGTGGACCAGTGGCAACCGAATCAGGATTTCAAACCGCTAGCCGTGCGACCAGGATCTGCCGGACTGCCGATGCCCGGGTTTGACGTTCGCGTCGTCGACGATCAAGGCCGGGAGGTGCCGCGCGGGACAATGGGGAACATAGTCATGGCGATGCCCCTGGCGCCGACGGCCTTTACTAGTTTATTCAATGACGACGAGCGGTTCTACAAGGGATATGTCAAACGGTTCAACGGCCGATGGGTCGACACCGGCGACGCAGGCATGATCGACGAGGACGGGTACATCCACATCATGTCGCGGTCCGACGACATCATCAACGTGGCCGCGCACCGGTTCAGCACGGGGGCCATCGAGCAAGCCATCCTGTCGCACCCCGACATTGGCGAGGCCAGCGTGGTAGGCATGCCGGACCCGCTGAAGGGCCATCTCCCTTTTGCATTTATCCAGCCGCGGGGATCAGGACCGCTTCCCGCCCGTCCCAGCGCGGAGCTCTTTCATGCTGTGAACCAGCTGGTGCGCGAGCAGATCGGGGCCATCGCTTCGCTGGGCGGGATCATCCAGGGGCGGGGAATGATTCCGAAGACGCGCAGCGGCAAGACGCTGCGACGGGTGCTGCGCGAGCTGGTGGAGAATGGGGTGCGGGGGGAGTTTGACGCTCCTGTGAACGTTCCGCCGACGGTGGAGGATGCAGAGGTGGTGGAGGTTGCGCGGGAGAGGGTACGTGAATTCTTTGCCGCCAAGGCGAGGTTATAACTAGTCACGACTTACTCCGACTGTCGATATGACGATATGCTCACGTAAACCAAAAGTAATCCATGCTTAATAAAACCAGGTATCGATCGTATAGAACAAATCAATAATCATGAAAGTCAAAAGAGAAGAAAAGGGGGTACTAGTAATAGTAAGAGGCTAGTGGTATCTCGCATTCATCGCCCGGGGTAGAGACGAACGAAAGCGCAACCCTGTACTAAAGGTATGTATATTGAATCCAGATCCGGATCCGAATCCGAATCCGATTCAATTCCATGAAAATGTAGACTCAGCTCTCAGACAACCAAACCAAACAAATCAATTCAATCAATTAAATCACAACCCCCTATACAGCCGACCTAAAGGCCCCTCATCAAGGCTCAGAGGTCCACCAACAGCTACCTACAGCAGGTAAGCAGCCAGGGCAAAAACACCGGCCAGACCCGCGCCGGCACCGACGGCAGCGCGCGAGGCGGCACCAGTCGCCAGGGGAGTGACGGGGGTGCTGGCGGCGGGAGTGCTGGTGGTCTTGGGGCCTGCACCGGAGGGGATGACAGGCTTGGAAGTCGGGACGACGACGATGGAGCTGCTGGAGGGGGTAGGGGTGTGAATGAGGGGGGTGGAAGAGGGGCTTCTCGTCGTCAGTAATCATCATCTTCAATCATTCTGGCGACTCATTGAGAGACGGTGAGACAAGACATACCACTTGTTGCACTTGGTGATGGTAGAGGTGATCAGGGGCCGGGAGATGGAGTAGGTCACGCCGTCGGAGACGGTGATGGAGGGGACCTGCAGATGAGGGATCAGCATGTTGCACTTTTTCATGATCCTTTCGGTTATATATAACCAAGACGTACAGCACTGGAGGAAGCCTCAGGAACGGAGGTGGCCTTGGGGCAGTAGGTGCTGTACTCGGTGACCACGACGGTGCTGTATTCCTCATCGGCAACGGCGTTGGAGGCGACGGCGCCCACGGCGAGGGTAGCCAGAATAGTAGCGAAGAAACGCATTTTGATGAATTTATTGAGATTGATGTGGTAAGGTTGGTAGATAAAGAGCGACTAGGATATAAATCCACGCAGATATCTGTAAAAAGAATGTACTCGGTATAACACCGGGGTAGTTGAGTTGGAGAGAGCGAGTGAAGCAAAGCAGTTGGCGGAGAAAAGAGAAAAAAGAAGAAAAGGAAGTCTGGAGGGAGGATGGGCGGGCCCTGAAGTATTCAGGCTAGAATTAACCTAGGAAATCAGGCCCAGGATCTAGTTCAGACTCAGGAGATTAAACATCTAAAATTACTCAATAAGGAGTGCAGGAGACGAAGCCACTCTTGCAGTCTAGTACAGACAGAGTTAATGTGGTGGACGGCCCTAATGTTAGTTCTACAGGACTAGTCTCCTTTCCCGTGCGTGGATTTATCATTTGTAGAAGAATTGTCAGACGAGTAGACAAGAGAAGCAGTAGATACACGCACTTTGCTCTGTGCACTCAGATCTCCACGTTTTTGGACCTGAAATACCCCTGAACCGGTCAAATGATCCCTCAATCGTGCCGCTGTTCGCATGCCTGTTTGAGGAGTTGAGAATCCATCTCTGGGGTTCAGAAGGAGCCGAGACTCTTTAGTCTAATAGTCCCGGCTGTGAGTCCTGACTTTTCAGTCCTGACTCTTGAGAGGCATCTGCGACTCATAGATACCCCGTCGATCATGGTTCCTCAGACTACTGACTGTTCCAACCTCCTGCTGCCGCCCTGATAATCATTCCCAGAAGAGCGGTCTACTCCTTTCCTCGCCTATGCTTGACGCTCTCAAGCTCGCTCGGATCTCAAGGAATCAGAGCTTTTGTGATTTCCAATTTCAAGTGCAGTTTATTGAAGTTAAAGTACATGCTCCTTACAGAGCCCACGTAGTACTCGGTACAGGCAAGGTGCCTTCTTCCTGCCTCATATTTTCGTGTTGCATGTTGTAGAGTTTCACTAGACCGAAGTCTCACCCTCGCACAAACCTCGTCTTGCTCGAGTCATCTACCACACTACGTAAACTCTGGTTCATACAGGACCTGTTGGGGGAGACAACTGAATACGTTCATTCTATCTCGATATGACTGTACACGTAGGCCTCGAAAACACATCATAAATGTCCAACTCATCGAGTCATCCCAGCTTTGCACACAGATCCAATCAGACGGTTCATTGCCCCTCATGGATGGTGAATGGGCGCGGGACATATCAGCATCGCCCGGGAAAAGCCAGCCAGAAGCCGTCTCTTCCACGAGAACTGAAAAAGCCGTAGACGCCATCTCTTCATCTTGGATTTAGTTGTGTGATGAAGAGAAAAAGAGGGAAAGAAGAGAAGAAAGGCGACGAGGATGCCGGCGGAGATAAAAACAGTAAGGTGCTGTAAGCGAGTCCTCGGAGTGGAACATCCTCTTCCGCTCCATCAGCCAATCGGGGTGCTTGGTCCCAGAACGGCTTAGCGGCTGACAGCTTTCCGCGGGCAACGGAGCCGCCCGTATCAAGAACTAACCGTTGTCCGATGGATCAAGAGATAACCATCGGCCGTGCCATTGTTATATCACCCGTTTTTCCTTCATTTTCTTTCGTGGACTCTTTAATCTTGTCTGTCACCGATTCAAACGGACGATAGGCTGAATCCTGCTCAACAATGTCTCTGAGTCGTTGCGGACGACAGGCCTCGCGCCTCATCCCGCGGTCTGGAAGCTCTTCCAGAGCTACCACTGCTATCACCACCGCCCGCCGTCCGGGCTTCCAGCTTCAGACTCCCACTGCTGCATCCAGGAATGTGCAATGGCGAAGCGTATCCTCATCCAGCCGCGATGGCCAGCAACATGTGCGCTCTATCTCCCTGGCTTGATCCTAGGACATGTACTGATGTCATATTCGTGCAGTTGCTCTCCGCATCCCTCGAGGAGGAAGATCCCACTGTCTACAACATTCTGCAAAAGGTGCATGACCTTTCCGGGCATCAACTGAATAGATTCACTCATACTGGTGCAGGAGAAAAAACGCCAAAAGCATTTCATCAACCTCATCCCCTCCGAGAACTTTACGTCACAGGCCGTTCTCGATGCGCTGGGGAGTGTGATGCAAAGTCAGTCCGTTGCAGTCGGTTCCACAAGGGTGAAACTAACTGGCCGCAGACAAATATTCCGAAGGATACCCCGGTGCAAGATACTATGGAGGAAACGAGTTCATCGACGAGTCCGAGAGACTGTGCCAGCAGCGTGCCCTCGAGACCTTTAGACTCCACCCCGAGGAATGGGGTGTCAACGTACAGCGTAAGTTTATAGTAAGATACTTTTGATATCACGGACTAACTCCTATAGCTCTCTCCGGTTCTCCCGCTAACCTTTATGCCATATCCGCCGTCCTCAACACACACGACCGTCTGATGGGCTTGGATCTGCCCCATGGTGGCCACCTGTCGCACGGTTACCAAACCCCCACCAAGAAGATCTCTTTCATCTCCAAGTACTTCGAGACCCTGCCTTACCGCCTGGATGAATCCACCGGCCTCATTGACTACGATGGAGCGGAGAAGCTGGCTCTGCTCTACCGACCCAAGCTGATCATCGCCGGCACTTCGGCCTACAGCCGGCTTATCGACTACCCCCGCATGCGCCAGATCGCTGACGCCGCTGGTGCGTACCTGCTGAGCGATATGGCCCACATTTCGGGCTTAGTAGCCGCCGGCGTGCTGCCTTCGCCCTTCCCTCACTCCGACATTGTGACAACTACAACCCACAAGTCTTTGCGCGGTCCTCGCGGTGCCATGATCTTCTACCGCAAGGGCGTCCGCCGGACAGACAAGAAGGGCAACAAGGAGATGTACGATCTCGAGAACCTCATCAACGCGTCGGTTTTCCCTGGTCACCAGGGTGGTCCTCACAACCACACCATCACCGCGCTGTCCGTCGCCTTGAAGCAGGCTCAAACGCCAGAATTCAAGGCCTACCAGGAAACCGTTTTGGCCAATGCCAAGGCGCTGTCGGAAAGACTGGGTGGCCCAATCAACAATGGCGGTCTCGGCTACAACATCGTGTCGGGAGGCACCGACAATCACCTGGTCCTTGTCGACCTGAAGAATCGCGGCGTCGACGGTGCCCGTGTCGAGCGTGTCCTCGAGCTCTGTGGCGTCGCCAGCAACAAGAACACTGTCCCTGGCGACCAGTCCGCCCTGAAGCCCGGCGGCCTGCGTCTGGGAACTCCTGCCATGACCACTCGTGGCTTCCAGCCTGAGGACTTCCGTCGTGTCGCTGACATTGTCGACCGGGCCGTGATCATCACCCAGAAACTGGACAAGGCTGCCAAGGAGAGTGCTGCCGCCAAGGGAGTCAAGAACCCCAACACCGTCAAGGCCTTCCTCGACTACGTTGGTGAGGGTGAGGAGATCTCCGAGATTGTGCTGCTGAGAAAGGAGGTGGAAGACTGGGTGGGCACTTTCAGCCTTCCTTGGGATGATTAAAAGTATACGTTGCCGCTATTTAATGAGATGATGTTTTGAGGGCTTCTTTTGGCGGGTTAGCTGTTCAACATGACCAAGATGTCTGCTTATGATGCATACATGTATGTATATACATTCAACACAATATCGATCTGCGACCAGAATCGTTTATTCCTTCTTGTCTATAATGTTGCTGTACGGAGTACTGGCGGTATGATTATCCATAGGATAAGGTGGAAGGTGTCTATCTGCGCCCTATCAACAACATTCTGTCATCCCCGCATCCGATAGGTCGGCGTAACTTCTCCGCATTAAGTTGGAGAATACAGGTGACGCTGTTTATTTGTATCTCAACCACCACACTGTCATTTGAAATACTAGATCAGAGTGTTTTCCACTCAGACATAGACAACGTTGGCATTTTTCTAGTACTGACCTACTTTCTTCAACTGAATAAAAACCTACAAGAGCAGACATGCACATCAGCCAGGTAGGCGGACTCCACCCCTTGCAAAGAAAAGGAAACTCATATATCAACCCAGCTCTACACATACCCCATCAAATCCCTCCGCGGTGTGTCCCTATCAGAAGCAACCCTCACCCGGACAGGATTCCAATATGACCGCCGCTTCATGCTCCTCAAGGTCATCCCCGGCCAGAATGGCGCCTACACCCTCAAGAACATGCACGTCCCCCATTTTCCCGAAATGGCTCTCTTTACAACGGACATCATCTACCCAGATGAAGAGAAAGACATACCAGGCCGGATCATCGTGACGTACCACCCACCAGCGGACAATCATCTCGACGACAAAGATAAAGCCACGAAAACGCTAGAGATCCCCTTGCAACCCGATATACGAGGCCTGCGCCAATTAAGCATCGAGATGCACCAGAGCCCGACGACAGGGTACGATATGGGCGATCCGTATAACGCGTGGTTCAGCGAGCGGTTCGGGTACGGCGTCGTACTAGCCTACCTGGGCCCGCATTCGCGGCGGGTCCTGGGGAGTTTCGCGCCGGGGAAGAGCCCCGCCCACGCGGTGGACAAGCCGGTGGTTTCGACTCGCTCGCTTGTTGGGCTGGCGGTGTTGACGCTCGTGCTGAATGGTGTGCGTGTTTCGGCTTCGGCTTCGGGGACGATGCAGCTCACAAGTGACGAGCTGTTGAGGCATTGGCCGGGTGTTGTTGCGACTGTTGCCGCGGGGTTGCTGTCGTGGGTATTATTGCGGGGGTTGTCGGCGGGCAAAGACGACGAGTCGATTACGTTTGCGGATACGGCGCCGTATCTGCTTGCGTCTGAGACGTCGGTTGATGAGCTGTCTGCGCGCTTCGAGGGCGGCGAGCGCATGGACGTGACCAAGTTTCGACCGAATATTGTTGTTTCGGGGGCGGCGACTCCCTTTGAAGAGGACTTTTGGGCTGAGTTGAGGGTTGGACAAGGCAGGAGTGCGGCGAGGTTGCTGCTCACGGCGAATTGTGTACGGTGTCGGAGTATTGATGTTGACTATGCGACTGGGAAGATGGGGACGGGGGAGACGGGGAGTGCTCTGAAGAAGTTGATGAAGGATCGGAGGGTGGATAAGGGGGCTAAGTATAGTCCTGTCTTTGGGAGGTATGTCTTCTTGGATCCTGGCTCGGACAAGGCGATGATTCAAGTGGGAGATGAGGTGGACGTCCTGAGGACGATGAAAGAGAGGACGGTTTACGGTCAGTAGTCTACTCCTTGATTCTAGGTTCAAAGCTGACAGATTGACCTCTAGATTGGCCGGGTTTGGCGAATTGAACAAACTGGATGAGTTTCGTTCAACTATCTGTCTGACGGACGCATGATGTTTTCATAGAAATCTACATCCTTCAATTACCTTGATTCATGAACATAAAGCCTGACCCCTGAGATTGTTCCTCGCACAGGTGATCTTGACTAAGTTTGCAGGACGAGTTCAATAGTGAGAGCTGCATTGCTTCATATTTGGTTCGGACTCGCAAGATGTACTGCTATCTTCGACCGGTGAGTTTCTTCGCAAACGCGCCTCTCTTGTCCGTCGGCTGCCACCAGTCTTCGATGTCATGCATACAGATCAGGAGCAGCTGGGCCTGATCGATAAATTTCTGGCATGACTTGATGTTATGCATCTGGCCGCAGAGCTTGTCCAATCCATCATACAGCGCTTCAAATCTCCTGTGCAAATGCTCCAATCGATTCAGATCCCCACCCAACCCGGTACATCCACTCCCGGTGCTGCTCTCCCCGTCCTCCTGCGACGGCCAGCGGGCATAGTAAACTTGCCACAGATCATGCTTCACCCGCCTGGCATAATCGCGATATCCGACACGCACAGCACGGTCCAGCCGTGTGTGAGAGGCGTTCTTCTGGTTGGCGCCCTGTGCCTGCTCCTTGCCCTTGCGCTTCTTCTTCTTCCGCCAGCCGGAGACATACCTCTGAGGGAGTGCCCATCTCGACCTCTGCTGCTTCAGAGCAGGAATAACATCGATTTCCTCCGAGGCATTGAGCTTGCATTTCCAGAGTTCGTTGAGCACAGCTGGCGAGGCATACGATCGGATGGCTGTGGTTTCTTCTCCGAAGGTGCTGAGGATCTTCGCGAAGAAGTTCGCCGCGTCGTACAGTGTATCGACTAGCCGGCTTGAGGCGGGCCGGAAAGGGATGCATGATTCCACCGGTGTTACGACAGGTGTGGGAGACCTGTAAACGAGATGGAAGCCGCTCGCTTGGAGTTCCGGGTCTGGTTCTCGATGGGAGTACAGCGACTCATGGCTCTGGGTTTGCGGGGTGTTGGGCAAGAGACAGCGCGGGTGCGATTGCATGTTGACGTTATGCGAGATTGTAGAGAGATAATAGAATGATACTGATAGAGCTTACTATAACCTTGTCATGCATTATATATACGGAATACAGGAGTTGATACCATCCAATGACGCCAAGACCAATGCACCTCGTCGTCATCACCCATCAGCCTCATCATGCGAGACCTTCTGTAGAACAAACAATCATCAACAAAGCCTGTCTTTCATCCCGTCTCACCTACAATCTCATTCTCTTTCAGCAAAATGACACACGAATTCCCCCCTGCCTCCCTTCGGCCTCTAATCAAAGAGGTGGCCGATCTCCTCAAATCCCGGGGGGAAACCATCTCCGTCGCCGAAACAGTATGCTCTCCTCCCCTTTCACCATGTCTCACGTACAAGACAATACATCTGATCCATCTCATATCGGATACTGATACTGATACTGATACTGAACAGGCAGCCGGAGGCATCATCTCCGCATGTCTACTTTCCCGCCCGGGAGCATCCTCAATCTACAAGGGTGGAGTAACTGTACGCCATTCTCCCACCCTCTTCTCTTCTCTTCGTTCTAGGACCACTAACAAACCAGCTCTACACCCTGGAATCCCGCATCGCCTTCGCAGGCTGGACCCAGTCGCATATCGACAGCTACGAAGGTCCCACGCCAGATATCGTCGCCGGACTCGCGCAGCACGTCCGCAATACCCTGCAGTCGACGTATACCGTTGCCGAGAGCGGGACGGCGGGGCCAACGGGTGGTGCGACGCGGAATCGGACTCCGTGAGTTCTTCCTTCTCTTCGTCTTGCCAATATCACTTCAAATCTGAATGCATACGTGATGCTGATGGTCGACTGGTAGAGGGTACGTTGCGTTAGCGGTGTCAACCCCGCAGGGGACGTTCACTCGCGAGGTGGAAACGGGGTGCGGGACTGAACGGGAGCGGAACATGGTTGTGTTTGCGGAGGAGGCGTTGAAGTTTGTGAGGGATGTGATGTTGGGGAAGGCGAGTTTGTAGTTTGCCATCCAGCTTTAGGAGGTGAGGTTTGTATCCGTGCTTCAGATTGTTTATGGGCATACTCCTGCGGGGTTACCTCTCTACTGTAGTTTCAATCCATTGCCACAAGTGGCGGTCGTTGAGATGCACAACTGTTCGATATTTGACTACTCGATTTATTTGCTCTATATGTTAAAGAGCTACCTCTCTACATGCTACCTTCTATGTGTGCCCAATTCGAATTACCAGGATATACTCCGTAGTTATGACACTATTACGTAGAGCACAGCCTCAATGACGCAGTGCACAGCCACACCAGGTCAGATTATGGGATTCCCATTCGCACACAAATGTGAAGAATACATGGCACACTAGAAAGATATGGATAAGTCAATTAGAAGATAGAATAAAGACCAAATTAAGAGATTTACTGACCAGAAACATTCTGACTGGCTGGGACTCAGTCAGCTGGCGCTGTTGGGCTTCTCCATGTTTCTTCAGCAGCTGGAGATTGGGAATCATCATTACTCCGTATATTCCTCTTCATCCATAATCCATTTCACTTCAGGTCATTAATTTCATCTTTTGATGATATAAACTAGGAATCTTGCTGCCTACTGACTATCTGCATCGAATCTTCCATCCGCCGATTCTCAGGCACCTTGCCGTTCCATTCGTGCTTGACTCGACCGATCAGGCGCCCGCCATATCCCACCTGCGCCTGTCATCCCCACCCTCAAATTCTATTTTTATTTTTTATTCCTGCGACCGATAACCATCCAAGGATCACAAATTCGACATTGGTGTGATCGTCTCTTAGGAGATACGACTTTGCGTCGGCGTCAAACGGCGCCATGGACACTGTGACGTTACGTCGCAAAGACACGACCAAGGGCCCTCCGTTGAGGGTTCTGTCGTTAGGTACGGAGCACTCCATCATCTGAATGCGGTTCAAAACTGACCGAAGTAGATGGAGGAGGCGTTCGAGGATACTCGATGCTCATCATTCTCCAGGAACTCATGTACCGCATCTACGTCGAGACGGAAGGCAAACCCCCGCGCCGAGACCAGATCCCCAAACCCTGCGACCACTTCGACCTCATCGCTGGCACCGGCACGGGCGGCCTCATCGCCCTCATGCTGGGTCGGCTACGTCTCGACCTGGAAACCTGCAAGGAAGTCTATGTGCGCATGACCCGTCGCGTTTTCGAAACCGACAAGACCATCGCCGGCATCCCCTACCGCTCGACCTTGTTCAAGGCGTCTAAATTGGAGGAGGCAATCCGGGAATGTGTGCGGGAACATACGGTATTCGAGGCCGAGGGGAATGATCTGCCCAATGCCAGCTCGCGCAGCTCCGTCGCCAGCGCGCCATACAGTCCCGCGGCGATTCCGCAGCGCTCCGTGAGTAGAGGCAGTTTCAGCACGTCTGGCGCTTCGCATCCCTCGACGCCGATCAGTCAGCGACATTCCGCTATCATCAACGGGCTACGGTGGGGGAACCCGGATGCTCTGCTCTACGATAATCGGGAAAATCGGACAAAGACGTAAGTCTACACCCGTCGGGGAAATCTATCTAGATCGTACTAACTGATCAGTGCCGTGACGGCGTTGTACAAAGGCACCCCCCGTAACGGATCCGCGGTGCTGCTGCGATCATACGACTCGCGTAAAGAGCCTCCTCCCGAATTCAACTGCACTATCTGGCAAGCCGGCCGCGCCACCTCAGCGACAGGTCTGGCGTTTAAGCCAATTCAAATCGGACAGCATCTGTTTATCGATGAGGGTGCAGGTACATATAATCCGGCACCGCAGATCCTGGATGAAGCGGCTGTCAACGAGTGGCCTGGGCGGGAAATCGGGGTGTTTATCAGCGTGGGTACCGGCAAGCGTCCGCCGGGCACGAACAATCGGCAGCATGAGTGGTGGGAAGATTTCTTTGGGGATGCTCTCGGCACATTTGCCGAGGCGCGACGACGACTGATCGCCAAGATCGAGGGTTGCGAGGAGATTCATCAGGAGATGCTTCGCACTCACCTGGCCAAGCGCGGAGTGAACAAGGACAACTACTACCGGCTGAACGTCGAGGTTGGCGTGGGTGAGTTTGGCATGAACGAGTGGAACCGACTGGCCGACATCAGCACCAATACCCGACGCTACCTGTCCAAGCCAGAAGTCAAGAAAAGCATCATGGATGCCGGGGTCAAGTTCGCAAAGATCGAGCGCATGCACCGACGACTGGCTGCGCATGCGGCCGCTGGATATGATCCTTCTACAGAGCCGACTGAAGATACGCCATTCTCGCCTCAGAGCTACACTTCGCAAGGACCAGTATTTTCCGTTCCGCCGCCATCCAATCCCATGGCTGTGGAATTGCCCGCTGAGCTACCTGGCGACTTTGCACCCATCATGACACATCAGCCTCCGTCGAGCGGCTTGCGGGTTCCGTCCCCTCCTACCGAGGACGCGCTACCACCGCATCCAACCCCGCAGGACGGCGTCTATCCTTCGTCGGGACGGGTTTCCAGCGGTAGCTTCAGTTATACTCACAGCGATGGGAGTCGGCCGGGCTCGCAGCAACAAATGGCGTCGCCTCGGCTGAGCGTGGAGCAGGTGCAGGAGAGTAACATACCACCTCCAGTGCCGCCAAAGACCCCGATTCCGTATCCTGATAATGCGAATGAGGCGCTGATGCCGATGCCCTTGATGGTGCATCATGGTCGGAATGGGTCTACTGGGAAGGTCCGGCCCCCTTATCCCGTTGATGAGCCTCCTCCAGCGGTAAACAAGCAGCGGAAACCCAGTTATCATGTGCGATGATTGATTACTTCATGTATAGGATAATATGACTTGGCTTGAGGCGTTACACCGTTCTTTGTTTATTTTGGGGATTCGCATTGGCCCATGGTTTATGATGTATTTACTACTGGTGGATACCCAAGAGAAGACAAGTAGTTAATGATTGATCTTATTGCATTGCTGTTTGTAATGATGGAGTTGCATTCCCCGGTACTATTTTTATCGCACTAGAGCCATGGTCCATAAATATCAGAGACAACCATGGATCAGAACTAATCCTTAGGTTGGGAATTGGACGATTCTCATCAGTTGTACCAAATTCTCCGAGACAGTGGGAGAGCGCCGTGGGTCGAGATGCAAGTGTACCTTAGTCTTAGGAGGAACTAACTGACTGGTCCAGCCTCTTTTTTCTTTTCTTTTGTTGGAGTCTCGCCCATCATCACCTCGTTTCCAAACAAGACTGTGCGGATGGAATTGCAACCCTTTTCCATCGTGTTTCATTATTATCTGTTCTTTCTTGTTTCTTAAACTCTTTTCTTTGATACTATCATTCCTCTCCCTTGCATCTCTTCCTTGTGGCCTTACCTTAATCCTTATCAGACCCTCCCGACATTCCTGAAACCACGCGGCCCTCAGCCACCACCGATCCTCCACTTTTGCTAGTCTGGTTAATTAATTTGCCGCCGGGGCCTGTTCATCGACCCTCGAAGCGCCTGATAACTGCCAGGTTTTCGCTGGTCTCGTGCGGGATCCAACCGGGTTCAATTTCAGTGGTTAGATTCAGCAGTTTGCATTGATTCATGGCCTAAGGTCAGACTCGTACGACTACGACTACGACTGCGGCTACGACGGTCTTGTTCAACAACATATAGATATACGCTCAAAAGGTTTCTTGGATCGGCATACCCGTTATTGATACACTGCTGGCAGTGCTATGCCCTGAACGATTTCCATGGAAATTTCCCACTCTCTCGTGGCCCATGCCACGACCCTCGCCGCCCGGTCCGGCGCTTCCAGTTCCACGAGCGAACGTCCCGCCGCATACAAAGCCGTCGGCATTGCGCTGGCCGTCTCGTCGGGTGTCTTCATCGGGACCTCGTTCGTGCTGAAGAAGACCGGTCTCCTCAAGGCAAACGTCAAATACAATGAAGAAGCGGGCGAGGGGTACGGATACCTCAAGAACTTCTGGTGGTGGTCCGGGATGATCCTCATGATTGTCGGGGAGATATGCAATTTCGTTGCGTATGCGTTTGTCGATGCGATTTTGGTCACGCCGCTGGGGGCGCTCTCGGTTGTGATCACCACCATTCTCTCGGCGATCTTTCTGAAAGAGCGGCTGAGTTTCGTGGGCAAGGTCGGCTGTTTCTCGTGTATTATCGGATCGGTCGTGATTGCTCTCAACGCCCCTGAGCAATCGTCCGTCGGTGATATCCAGGATATGAAACATTATGTCATTGCGCCGGGGTTCCTGTCGTATGCGGGTGTCGTCATCGTGGGCTGTGCGATTGTTGCGCTCTGGCTGGGGCCGCGGTATGGCAAGAAGACCATGTTCGTCTACATCAGTATCTGCAGTTTGATCGGTGGGTTGAGCGTGGTGGCCACGCAGGGTCTTGGGGCGGCCATTCTGGCTCAGATCAATGGGAAATCACAGTTTAAGGAGTGGTTTCTCTACGTGTTGCTTGTGTTTGTGGTTGCAACCTTACTGACGGAGATTATCTACCTCAATGTATGTTCTTTTGTCTGTGGTTCAAGTGCTATGCTAACCTGACACCGCAGAAAGCGTTGAACCTCTTCAACGCCGCCCTAGTCACCCCCACCTACTACGTCTTCTTTACGAGTTCGACCATCGTCGCCTCCGCTGTGTTGTTCCAGGGTTTCAAAGGCACCGGCATGCAGATCGCCACCGTCATTCTTGGATTCTTGCAAATCTGCGCGGGCGTCGTGCTGTTGCAGCTGTCCAAGTCCGCCAAAGATGTGCCCGATGCGGCGATCTTCAAAGGCGATTTGGATCAGATTCGAGAGGTGGCCGCGCAGGAAGAACCCGAGACGGAACCCAAGGCGGACTCGATCCGTGGTGCTGCGGCGATCATCCGACGCATATCGACCGCACGCCGTCGTACGGAAGAGGAGGAAGCGCGGCGGTATATCCGAGACAGGCAGGAAGATTACCTCAAGCCCCCGGCTGAGAACGAGATCATCGAATGGGACGGTCTGCGGCGACGCAAGACCGTTCTGGGACAGGGCCCGACCATGGCGCGGCCTCGCACGCCTGGCCATCCTCATACTCCGTTGGGTGTGTCGGAATCTCCTGGCGACGATCACCCCGACCGCAGACCGAGTACTCGCCAGAGCGACCGTTCTTTCCTGGATGATCTGCGATCGCGAGCCTCGAATATCATGCATCCGGGGCAATGGCATCAGGTCTATAATCCCCAGGACAGTCACACGGATCCGGTCCATCTGACTGTTTCTCCTGTGCATGGCAACAAAAACTCGGACACGAGCTATCACGGAGCGGGGATGCGCGAAGTTTCTGGACAGACTGACACTTCGCGGTCTATTGCGTGGGCGGACGAGACACAGGACCATGAAGCCTCGCCGCACACGGCCAAACGGCAGTTTTCTTTCAACACAGTCTTCAACCGAATCAGGTCGAAGAGTGAGAGTGAACCGCCCAAACCACCGCCTCATTCGCCTCGCAGCATTCTACGTCGCAGCCACCTGGTTCCCGGTGCCGAGAGGCAAGCCCTGAAGGGAGCCACCGAGGAGGAACGGCTAGGTCTGGTGAAAGGGGATTCGCGGGTCGCCGGAGAGGACTGGGATATGCACGAGAAGCTGGAACGGATCGACTCGTCGTCGAGCGAGTCGATCTCGGATGCCCCTGAGCCGTATGGTTCGGTGGTCTATGGCGGCCACGGCGCGTATGATTATGGCTACGCTGCTCAGACCTCACCGACCGAGATGCAAAGCGGCTGGCAGTTACCGTCCTCTCGGTCCGTGACCGCGACTGCGGATCCAGGGGCCGTGCAATCCTCGTCTCGACCCCGACCGAATCCGCTGCCACCGTTACCAGACGAGGAGCCCTTCATCGCCGGTGAGGACTCGCATATGCGGGTTGAGCTCCGGTCACCTACGAGTCCCGGGGGGACAGACGGCCGAGGCTGGCGACGTCCTTTGTCGGGGCACGGCGACAGCCCATCCTCGACGAACCGGGGGGCATTTATCTAGTGACGCTTGTATATGGATGATATGTATGATATGATAATGACCATGATTGATGATAGACATGACACTGCCAACTGGATAAATAGACGCACTGCAAAGACATGTCGTCCATATGCTGATACTCCAAATCAAAGACTGACCACCGAACAAAGCAAGACAGTATAAACGCCGCCATCATGCACCACAGCTATATCCACTGCGGTTAATGCAATTGTATAACCATTGCAATAAACTCGTAGACTCGTCTCGTCGTAGTCATTGAAAACCAAAACGCCGGGGTATATGCCCACCAACACCAAACACCACCCTCCATAACCAAGCAGACCATAGAGGGAAATCACCGTCGAAACATCCCCATCACACTCCTCTGCCCACCAGGCGCCAAATCCATCGCAAACGGCCCCTCCGAAAGCCTCTTCCCCGCCTTGATACTCTCCAGCGCCCTGCACACTCATTAGCCCTGCGCCTGGATCCAAGGAAAGAAACCCGAAGGGAAAATACCTACCACTCAACACCAACAACCTTAACCCCCCTCCACCCACCCCTAGAAATCTCCCTCTGCAACTTCCCCGCCGCGAGTCCTCCCCCCGCTCCGGAATGACCAGCAGGCCCACCATTCGGCTTGCCGATGATAACATGCGTGACGGTCTTCCTGGACAGGGAGATGGCGATCTCCGCGCCGTGCGAGACGAGTAAAGATTTGAGTCTGTGGTCTGAGATATGGGGCATTGTGGAGCCGTTGATGTAGATGCTTGTTCCTTTGAGGATCTTCCTCCCCCCGTCTTTGTCTTTGTCTTTGTCTTCGACTTGGGGTTTATTCTCTGGTTTGGTTGCGAGTTCGGGGGATGTTTGACAGAGTATTTCCCTCTCCGTCTCCTTCTCCGTCTCCGTCTTCGCTTTCTTGCATTTACCTGCGTCATCTTCATCGATCGTAGAGGCAGAGGTAGAAGCACGCTTCTTGCTCCCCCCCATCATCGTCCGGATATCCCTGCATCCGAGCTGGTTGCGGGTAGCCTCTGCAGCCGAGAGCCATTTCCATTCGCCTTCCTCCCGTCCAGTTCTACTTTCGCTGTTGGTTTGGGTAGTGGGAGGGCCCGTGTCGCCCGCGCAGTCTCCCGACGACGAGGCAAACTGAATCGCAAGCTTTGCTTGCCGGGTTTCGCGCCAGCTGGTGGTGTTCGAGTAGGGGTTCTCGGCGCGCTGGTGGCCTGTTGAGGCGGAGTTCCATGTGTCGAAGATCGTGTGGTTTGTTGGTGTTGGTGGCATTTTCTATTCCCAGATAAGTGTTATAAGGTGTAATGTTGTAGTGAGGTAGGATAAAAAAGTCAAGAGGGGCAGTGAGTGAACCTTGGTTCAGATGTTGATGTTTTTCTGCTTTGGGTTAGTCACCCTGAGATTCCAACTACAATGTAGCACAGAGTAACAAGGGATATCTACGCAAACTGCACTGCTGATAACCCATCAATTTTGTCCTATCCCTACATGCGACGAATGGAGAGTGGACCATATAAGTGAAAAGAAACAAAGACTCATCCAAGGAAATTCGTGTCATCATGGTCGTCAATACGCAGTATATCCTTTCAGAAAACAACCGCACATTCCACAATATGACCCAAAGGCACCATAACGCTGATCATCCGGAGTATGAAATCAATGCAGAGGCCGTCGATGGCCCACGCTGCAACCATTAATGACCCAACAGAGGCAAGAAGCCTCGCAACATGGAAAAAATGGGGAGAAAAAAAGAAAAACGCAAGGTCTACTGAAGACCGCACAGGCTTTCATCCCACGCGCCGGTGGATGAGGGACCCGTCCCCTTTCTAACCTTCTTTACCCTGAACAACCAGATAAACGAATGCAAAGTCGGAAGCCAAATCGGCTATTACTCGAGTTGTCTTCGGTCTATGGCATATCATCGACGACGAGGCATGGCACCTCCGGCTTTCATCGGCTGTAGTCCTAGCAGCACTCCGCCAACCGGTCCGCCAACGGTCGTTTCATTGGTCCGTCGGCGCTTGCTTTCGTAATCTCCCTGGCTGTCCGGCCGGCCCATGTCGTCGTCTTCCCGTCCCCGCTTGCCAGATCCCAACGATCCACCCAGCGAGTATGTCGGCGCCGAGTTGGAAGCCACAGTGTAGTTGTCTGAGCCAGCTCCGTTCGATGACCCGCGGGTGTCGCTGACAATGTTATACAGACTACTGGCAGCGGTTGGTCGAGGAGACGCGTAGCCCGACGCCCATTGCGGAGGAGGCCCACCACCTGTGCGTGGGGTCATACGTCCAGACCCGTTCTGCTGCGGGGAGCCGGTGATGTCGTTTGTCAGCTGCGAGTGCTCGCCCGCGAGACTACCAACCGAGGTGTTGGTGGTATAGGTATAGGAACTCCGAGGGGCGCCGTAGCCCGTATGGTCGTGCGGCACGTAGTCCGACTCGTGCTCAGGGCCAGACTCGCCCGCGCCAGTAGCAACGTGTCCATTGCTCTGTGAGTACCGGTCCGCAGGCTTGACATCAGAAGTTTCAGTCTCCGACTGTCCTCCCGGGGCCCGTCCCGCCGGTGGTGCCATCTCATTCTTGATGTAAGAATGAGGCGGCATCGTCTGACCATACTGTGACAGAGAATGCTGTGGAGCATAGTGCGGGTGCGACGAAGGAGCAGTCGAGTAGTATGGTTTCGAAGTGTCATACCCCGATTGGCTCTGATACGATTGCATGCCTTGCAAGTTGTTGCCGGGAGGCGTCGTCGCTGGAGTCGTGGGCATCGACCGCGTGTTGCTCAAAGTGGTATCGATTGACAATGGCTGAGTGTTTGGTACTCCAGAGTTCATGCCTTGGTTATTCCAGTCATACGAGCTACTCTGGTTTGACAAGCCCATGAGACTCGAGGCGCTGGCGGGTGGAGTGGGAAACGTATGTGCTCGGTCCAGCGGAGGACGAGCACCAGGCTGCGATGACATCGTAGGCGGCTGAGGCATTTGGGAAGGAATGGAGGTCTGCATGGAGTGATGGTGGTGCAGAGCTGGCGGCTGAGAGGCTTGGGGGGTTCGCGCGGACGGTGGGCCCTCCAACCGCCGTTGTTGCGATTCCTGCACGACCATATTCGTCCGAGTCTGGTTTGTCGGATGGTAAAGCAAACCACCGATATTGTGCACGAACAAGGGGTAGAGCAGATCAGTGATCTTTTCCTTGTTGGCGAACTCCAAAGCGCGCTCAAAAGGGATCCTGCATTTGTTAGCGTTACCCTTGACCATAATATCATAAATAAGACATACCACACTCCCTTCAGGTGCATAGGGCCAATCTTCACAACATGGCGGACCTTCTCGCTCTTGAGGATACCGTCCCGACGACCTCTAGTCATACCAGCCACGTTGAGAAGCTTCGTACCGTTGATCATGTGGTTGTCTATTCATTGTTAATAATCTTGACCGGCCGTCGTGACGATTCAGATGCTTACCTTCTCTGCGCGCAACACAGACTCCCTTAGCTTCTACCTGATAACAGAGGCTCCCTTCATCCTCCCACAAGGTGGCAGTGACTCGCGGCTTGGCACCCGGGGGCGCCAACTGTCCAGTGGTATCATAGACGAACCCTTGCATCGGCGTTCCTGTGGTGTTGCCATAACCCGGCGCTGTTACGGTGTGGCTGTTGACTGCTAGAGGAAGTTAGTACACGAAAGCATAGCAAGTAAAAAGGCCCAGAAGCTTACCGGGCAAAGGCAGCAACTGAGCAGGAACCTGGCTGCTCATCGATGTTGATGGCGGGGGTGGCGCGGCCTGGGACGAGGCAACACCGCTGGGATAGGCATATTGCGAGTAAGAGCTGGCAGGACCGTAGGTCGAGGCTGGCTGCAGGACAGGCGGTTGTTGGTGATATTGCGGATAGTGGGCCATCGCTCCTGCCGTCGCCGCTTGAGAAGCGTACGGCTGCGCAGATGAGAGATGCGACGAGTGGACGTCCATGTAAGGTTGCGTTTGGTTCATGCTGCCCAGAGGGGTCGGATTCGGGTAATAGCTGTCGCTCACCTGATTCTGCGCAACCGTGTAATCCTGCGAGGCGGAAGATTCCAGGGAGAGACGGCCGTGTCCACCAGCCACAAGGTCAACAGACGGCGGAGTTCTGGCCTCGCTGATGGTCGGTGCGGTGCCGGACGATAGGCTTGTCCGAGCGCTTGAGCTGGTCGAACCCGGAGCCGACTCTTCGTAGCTAGCCCTGTAGGACTGGCCCGAGACGATCGGCTGCGAGGCCGTGGGAAGACTGAGCGCCGGAAGTTTGTCACCAGACAACAAAGGTCGTTCCGCTGCGTGGTGGTTGTACCAAGGGATATCAACAGGACCTCTTGTGTGGACCTGGGAGATCGACGGTAGCTCCAGCTTTTCGGTTTGATGGGTAACGGGTTGAAAGTGTAGTGGCAAAGGAGCACTAGGAACGTCGAACTATGAGCGTCCGGCGTGCCGTATGAGATTTTTGCTTCCTGCGTGTATATTTCCGTTGTTTTGTTGTAGAGATCACGGATATCAGGTGTGATGTCCGCGTCAGAAAGACCGTTTTCGTAAGAAACAAATGAAAAAGTCGATTCTCACGAAGGCTTCGTGAAATTCAAAAATGCGTGCGGTGCAGGCAATGCAATAATCAATCGTGGAAGGTCGTCGAACGTCGTAAGCGTGAAATGTTTCAAGACCGTCGCTGGACAGAGGAAATCGCTATGCAGTGTGTACTGACAGAAATCTACATCCACAAACTTTTCTTCGACAAGAGGTGTGTAGTTTTTTGGGATCGACACGAACAAGACAGCACGGAGGGGGAAGCGAGACGAAAAACGGATCGCAGATTGGTCAACAAAACTCGCTCAACCAGATCAGTAGCAGGCAATCATGGGTCTCATTCAAATCGTAAATATAGGGATGTGAGGGGCGACGCGAAGTTCCAGCATCTAACGTCGAAACACTGCTTCTTATAAACCCACAATGTTGTATGCCGAGTCGGATATACGGTGTCTATCAGGAGGGGAAGTTCGCGATAGCTCGTTGCAGGTCAGAGATACCGCTCGACGGATCGACAGTGGAGTCAGAGCAGTCTAACGATAATCGCAGAAGTAGAGTAAGCAAAGCATTCAGGTCATTAACATGGTCATGCAGAAAAAGAAGATGTCAAGCATGGAAGCATGGAAGCAGAGTGGTTGAGATGAGAAGACCAAGACGGGATCCTGTAGGTATGTATAGGAGCCATCAAACGGAAGGGATGGTACGGTGACGACGCGGCAAAGGGAGACTGGCGCAGGATAAAATCAAATTAAGAAAAAGGGAAAAAGCAAAAATGAAAAATGAAAATGAGAAGACCCTGTATTTCCGGCGGCAAATATAAGAGGAAAAGAGGGAAAATCGAAGGACAAACTCTCAGACGGTCCAGATTGGGAAGATCAAACCAGAATGGAAGTGGAAGACGAGGCTCGAAGGCGGTGGGAGGCAAAGAATGATTGATTTGCATTTGCACATAGGACATAGGACCCATAGAAAGAAGAGGTCAGGCAGACGGGGAGATCATGTACGGAAAAGTGGAGGCTGGGGGAGTGATAGTTCCAGTCTTGGTACGTAGAAATAATAGGTAAAGGTAATAATGGAGAGAGGGTGTAGACTGGTACTGGTAGTACAGCAAACGCAGGATAAGACTGGACTAGACCTTTTGAGGCTAAGCCTAATAGGTCGCAGCAGCTGTGAGACAGGTCGGTTGGAGTGCGGAAAAAAAGTGGAAGAGAAGGGTTGGTTAGGAAAGAAAAAGGAAGGGAAAAAATAAATAATAAAAGGGAAAAAAAAGAAAGAAAATAATAGAGGTGATTGTAGGGCTATGCGTACCAACTTTTCGCTCTCAGTCTCTCTTTTTTCTTTTTTTCTTCCCTTTTGGTCTAGGTTATTATTCTCTTGTCTTGCCTTGGAGCTTCAATGTCCTAGGGTAGGTAATATTGTTTGCATGCGTGGTGTATAGAATGTATGCATGCATGTACGGTACGAGCTGGGCAGGGAACCTTAGATCAGAGGTAAGCTAACACCCATAGAACGAGAATCATCAACCATGAATAAATCAATCAATGGATGGGCCGAGCGGAGGGGAAGGTTGGTAGCGAGGTTTATTGTGTAAACTTGGGTTGGGGAGGGGAAGAAAGGGCGAAGAGAGGGGGCGGCAGCCGCTGAGCTTCCGCGTTTTAGTGGGAGGCTGGCGGTCTTCTAGCCAAAAGAGGCTTGGGAGGAAATAGGTCGGAAGGGGAAGAAGAAA